GTGTGCTCTTTATATTACATTCAGGTGTAATGAAATTCCTTATTCACTTTGATATATGTTTATATTATACATTCGAAATCATGAATATCTCGCGCATAAAGTTGCACCAATTATAATACACTCGAGATATTCGCATCACATCTAAATATTCATGTATCGTAATCTGGTCACGTATATTGTGTTGGCGTAATACTCAGTCTTAATAGTATGAATAGTCAAAGAGAAACGACGATTTTTATATGACAGAGACAAACATTTGAAATTATAATACGCGGTGCTTCGATTTTTACGCTATATATTTATTTTATTAAGTTACTTATGGTGATTGCTTGATTAATATTTAAAGTAGCTTAAAACGTCATCCAATTCAGAATATATTTCAAATTTTTTGAAATGGATAATGTTTTGTTTCTTTAGGCAATTAATGTATTTTTAACAGGTTTACTATGAGCTGTGCTCTTTATATTCCTTTTCCATGTGATGCTTATTTATATTATACGAGTTAATGCATCTCATCTTTACGGTCCTTTGACGACGGGGATGTATCGTGCTTGCGAGTGATTTTGTGATATACACAAAATGCTCATATAATATTCTGAACATTTCTTTATAATTTGAACATTCTGTAAAAATTCTTTTGCTATCCCGAAATATACACATTGAGAATATATATCTATACATCGAACTTTTCACATGAAATGCTTTTAGCTGGGTACTATGTCTTCTATTATATATATTCATATTCTGTATATAAGCTAGTATACCTGCCTTCGTTCTGAAAAATACAAAGAGATGAATATTTTATTTACATTATAAATATTTTCCATCATTTTATTCAATAATTGACCCTATACGTACATACATAATATTCTACATGCATTTTTATATGAGATAGTAATTATATAGATTCAAATAATTTATTATATTTTTAAAAATAAAGTCGTTTGTACTGTAATTTTATATTTTTTCTTTTTATTTGCGATGCTCTCTTAATAGCTTGTGTTATCTGTACTTGTTTTTTTTTCTATTTTTAGGAAAAGAGCAACAATATCTTATGCAACATGAGTAACGTTGCCTTTATGTTGCATAAGATATCTAAAGGACGTCTTTAAACATCATTTAGACATCTAAAAGATGTCAACATATGCACATTATCTGGAAAGTTATACATAATCGGGATACAAGCAAAATACCTTTTGGATAAAGTGTGTCGTGTGCTGGGATCCTTTGATACTTTATCAATTTTTAAGATTGACAATTTTTGCAAATTACGTAATTGACAATCGGAATAATAATATTACACACATACACACATTTCCTAACAGCACAAATGTCGATATGTCGACTAGAAGTCGACTTTGTTAAGTCAGGCCCTTTGGAGTCGACCGTAAGTCGACTTTATTCAGACGTCTATAGACGTCCCTCAAATGTCGACTTATTAGGACATCTCAAGAAGTAGACATTTGTAAAATAGTCGACTTGACTTGTTAGAAAGCCGCACATATATGTCCGTTAGGACTTAAAATCGGCTTACTTATTATACATATATCAAATATTATATTATAATATATATATTACATATAGAGATATATATATATATATAATATATAATACCGATAATAATATTAATGATTACACTATATATGTAGATATATATATATAAGTTATAGGTAGCAATTACTGCAGTCGATAAATTTATTAACTGTGTAGGCGATGGTGGATAATTTATCGATTGCCAATTAGAAATTATATTATCGATTTTTAATTTTCTATTTATCAAGAAAAACGGTTTCTTAATATATATTTTATTTTCCTAAAAATTGAAGCGTGTTTCTAATTTTGTTAATTCATAATTTATGGTTTATAATATATGTTTATATGTATACTAAACTCGACATGGTGAACACACGTGGGAAATCATAAATTCGTGTTGCGTGTTGCGTCTGTTGCACACTATACGTTTAAAGCAGCAAGAGCAGAGTAGTGTAGAAAAAAAATAATCAAGAGAGAAGATAATATTTTATATATTTGAAATAAGAGTAAAGTATTTTAGACATAAAGAGACAATAATTTACTTTCGTTTTTATTTGTGTAACGTTCATTTGATTTATTTACAGCCTTCGTCACGTGCTGAATTCTAATCCTAACCTAACTTAACCTAAAAATGGGTCATAAAAGAAAGGTATTGTTTTTATTATTTGTAAACACAATTGTACTAATTATATATAAAATTAATATAAATTAGCAACTAATAAAAATGTTTAATAAAATTATTATTCAGCTAATATAAAAATTATTGAGCCTCTATATGGCAAATGTACAAATTGTAACAACTTTGCAGTGAGAATGATATATTAACTATATATAAAGATATAGTTTAGTTTTCTAACAAAAATAAATTTTTTATCTAGGGCCGATGTGTGAAGCGAAATAAGCAAATAAATGTGGGAGAGAAAGAAGAATTGGTGAAAGCACCTCATTCCTTTGTATTCCATCGTGGTTTGTCAGGAGATAATATCGTCGATCTTACTAAAGATTTTCGCAAAGTTATGGAACCTTTTACGGCCTCATCCTTAAAGGCTCGAAAAAAAAATACTATTAAAGACTTTGTCTCTATTGCAAGCGTACTGCATGTTAGTCACATGTGTATATTCACAAAAACGGAACTGGGAGTGTACCTTAAGCTTTGTAGGTACTGTATTCGTTTTAATAAAATTTATTAATAAGAAAGTTGAGACGATTATTTTAATTAATTCATAAATCGATTTATTGGATGATGTTTTAATATTATTATAGGTTGGCTAGAGGACCTACACTTACTTTCAAGATACATAGTTTCTCCTTGACACGAGATGTTATATCTATGTTGAAGAAGCAGTTGGTATATGAGGAAGCCTTTAAAAGTTCTCCTCTATTGGTTTTAAATAATTTCAGTGGGGAAGGCATGCAACTAAAACTTATAGCTTCTACTTTCCAGAATATGTTTCCAACCATAAATTTGACCACTGTAAGTTTTGTGAAATAAATTAGTTTAAGAAATGCTAAAATTATAAAAATTATTATTTGTAAAAAATATTTTTATAGATTAATTTGAGCACAGTCCGTCGCTGTATATGCTTAAATTACAACACAACGACTAAAACCATCGATTTCAGACATTATGCGATCAAAGTTGCACCTGTAGGTTTATCAAGAGGTATAAAAAAAATAGTGCAAGCTAGAATACCGAATTTATCTAAGTGTCAAGATATTTCGGACTTTTTAATGAAGCCGACCATGTCCGAAAGTGAAGCAGAAGATGATGAAAGCAGTCATGTCACTTTACCACAAAATTTGTCTTCAAGAGGAAATCAGGCTAACTCTAAAAGTGCCATTAAATTATTTGAGTTGGGACCAAGAATAACATTACAGGTTAAAAACTTAAGACTAATACAAGTAATAAATTCGTAGAGATTTAATATTGTTCTAATGTTAATCAAATGTATTGTATTTTAGCTAATCAAAGTGGAGAATGGACTCCTCGATGGTGAAGTACTTTATCATGAATTTATACACAAAACAGAAGAGGAAAAAGTTGCAATAATGAAAAAAAGGGAAGCAAAGAAGAAATTGAAGGAAAAAAGAAAAAGATTACAAGAAGAAAATAAGAAAAAGAAAGAAGCGCAGAAGCAAGAACATAAAGAGAAATCATTGAAAGGTATTCAGAAGAAGAGAGAAAGTGATATGCTCCTACAAAAATTTGCGAAGGAATCTACTGAAAAGAGTGAACTGGAGGAAGATGACGATGCGCAGTATTATCGTGAAGAAGTAGGAGAAGAGCCTGATAAAGGTATGTTTAGAAAATTTAATATTTTAAATATAGATTTAGATATATTCACAATTTGATACTAAACAACGTGATTTTCTATTTCAGATTTGTTCCAAACGAAAACTGGCACAAAAAGGCCGCATAAGTATATAAAGAGATATAAACCGAAGAAAGCAAAACTCGATAAATCTTAAGATAACATAAAATAATTTGTGAATAACTAAATTATCTTGGAAATAAAATGTTATATTATGTATACAAGAATCACGACATTTTTGTGAAACATATTGGATACGTAAACGAAAACACTATTCAATTCGGTCAGAGAATTTTAATGTATCAGTAAAATACCTCCATTAAAAATGAAGAAAAATACATGAAAATTCATATAAATATAGAATTACTTAAATTGTTTATTATGCTGCCACTTGTAAAAGGAACGTTTTGTGTATGAAGTCTTTACGTTATTTAAATATTTATTAATTTTAATTATACAAAGAGAAATTTAATTTTACTTGTTAACATGTAATTTCTAAACAAAACAATTCGAACTTTTTTTTTATAAAAATTTTATTATATGTTAATTGATTATCCAACTTATTATTGTGTATAATAACAATATTTTTTGCACTGAGACTTTTCTATTCTGCAATATAAATTTAATCTCATATATTTTTATTCTACATTTAGAGATCACGTAGATTTTTACATAGATCATATTATAATGATTTATATATATATATATA